GAAAAAAAGACCTCGTCTCCATATTTACTCCAGTAGATGAACGAATTGCTATTAGCCATATAAAAGCGAAGTTCTTCTACATCAGCCTCATTTGCGCCTATGCTCCGACGGAAGACGAAGATGAACAGACCAAAGACATATTTTACGAGCTCCTAGAAACAGAATGTGATTGTTGCCATGGCAATTAAAATTCTGCTAGGAGATTTTAATGCAAAAATCGGAAGGGAAAATATCTTTGGCCTCACCGTCGGAAAATTCAGCCTCCATGAAGAAACATTAGACAACGGCATGAGGTTGATTGACTTCGTGGCAGCAAAAAAGATGGTAGTTAGCAGTATCAGATTCAAGCATCTCGATATACACAAGGCCACTTGGATTTCCCGAGAAATCAAATCGATTATGTTGTGATAGACGGAAGGCATTCATCCAGTGTTTTGGACGTTCGATCGATTCGAGGAGCGAATATCGATTCGGACCACTACATTGTAGCAGCCAAGGTTCGCACCCGTCTTAATGTAGCAGCAAAGGTGCGATCTAATGTAACACGGAAATTTCACGTCGAAATGCTGCAAACACAACAGGTAGCCGAGGCCTACTCCGCTCAACTTACCCACCTGCTTCACGAAAGCACTCCTTGTCCCGATAATAGTATAGAAGCACAATGGCAAAGAATTGCCCGCTCCCTACAAACTGCAGCAAAAGCAACACTTGGGTACCAAAAACCACCACCAAGAAGCCCATGGTACGATCAGGAGTGTACTGATGTGAAAAACGCAGCGTATAGGGCAACCCTGCAGACAGTAGCAACACGTAATGTGATGAAGAATTATCGGGAGAAAAAGAGAGAAGAGAAACATGTTTTCAGAAAAAAGAAGAAAGAACATGAAAAACGTAAGCGTGAGCAAATCGAGATGTACATGAGTGAGAATGAAATCCGAAAATTCTACCAACGGGTAAAACACCAAACCGAAGGTTTTGGTGCAGGCACATCCTCCTGTAAAGATGAAGAAGGAAACCTGGTAACAGATACAGACAGCGTGTTAAGGATCTGGAAGGAGCAATTTGAAAAGCTTCTGGTATCAAATAATGTCGGGGAAGAAGATACCCCAGAACCAATAAGAGATGACGGTATAGAGTGTATACCACTTAGACAAGGTAAGGTCAGAATAACACTTAATCGGCTAAAGAATAATAAAGCAGCTGGGGCCGATGGATTACCAACTAGGGTAATGCATGCCAAATGATTGGAACCTCAGCATCCTGTGGCCCGTGCACAAAAAATGAGACAAGACGAGACAACTATAGAGCAATTAGTCTTCTTCCCATTGCATATAAAGTGCTATCCAGTATGCTGTGTGAACGATTGAAGCCAATGGTCAATGACATTATTGCGGCTTCAGACATGGCAAATCCACCATTGACCAGATTTTCACACTGCGCCAAATCCTGGAAAAGACCCACGAAAAACACATCGACACATTCCACCTATTCGTCGACTATAAAGCGGTCGAATACGGCTAACCTAACCGTGCAGAGGATTTTAAAGCCATGTCTACGTTCGGCATTCCTGCAAAATTAATACGGCTATGTAGGATCACTTTAAGTGGCACAACGTCAGCAGTTAAAGTTGGAAAGGACCTATCGGAGCCCTTCAATACCGAACGAGGATTCTGACAAGGTGACAGTTTGTCGTGTGATCTTTTCAACATCCTGCTGGAAAAGGTCATACGAGACGCAAAGGTGAACAGAAATGGCACTCTGTACACCAAACAACACATGTTACTCGTCTAGACCGATGACATATATATATATATATATAATTGGTCGAACATCGATATAATTGGTCGAGCGGTAACAGCCACCTTTGAATAAATTGAGAAGGAGTCTGCCAAAGTGGGTCTTGCAGTAAACGGCGAAAAGGCCAAGCTAACTGTGGAACTTGAAAACTACAGCTTCGAGGTAGTCAAAGATTTTATATACCTTGGCACCGCCATAAATAATACGAATGACATCAGTTTTGAAATTCGGAGAAGGATAGTCCAATGGCCAACCGATGCTACTATGGTCTGAGCAAACAACTCAAAAACAAGGCTACCTCCCGCCAGACCAAACTCACACTCTACAAGACGCTGATACTACCCGTGCTGTTATATGGAGTGTCTTGGAGTCTTTGAGAGAAAAATTCGGTGAACATCGCCGTCGAATAAACCATGAGTTGTACCAGCTATTCTCGGACATCGACATTTTTACGCGTATTGAGCTGCAACGACTACGTTGGCTAGGTCATGTTGTGAGAATGGATGAAGATGCCCAAGCCCAGAAGGCATATAAAAGCGAACCAGCTGATGATTCACGGTAATGTCGAAGACAACATTACCGAAAATGGTCTTTCAAATTGGAAAAACTGCTCAAAAAAACCGACGCGCCTGGAAATCGTTTTTAAGCTCGGCTTATGGAACGAAAGTTCTGTCACAAGCCAGCTAAGTAAGCCTGGACTTCGTAATGTTAAAGCCAATCAGAGCCGTTGCTTGGTATCTATCATCCCTTACGCCACCCGGAATTTAAAAAAGTATTTTTCAAGGACTTATCATTGGCGTGGATTTTAAAAAAGTATTTTTTTCGATGTCGACCTGGTTAATTGTTGCCTCTTTTACTCAGTGGACTTTGATCAATTTAATTCGTTTAATTTTAGATATCCCCTAAATAAATCAATTCCAAATCTTCCGCCATGGTTCAAAGTGCATTTGCAGATATTCGCCGTATACCTGACTCATTGGTATATTCCGCATAGATAAGTAATATACAAATTATATTTAATTCAGTTTTTTGTATTTAATTTCATTTCTAATCATATGGGAGATAAGAATTACATTCGGTTTAGGGAAGAGGCGAGGTCACATTTAAACAAAATAAAATTGTATGCGTTTGCTTTCCGGCTGCATTAGTCATTTGAAAAAATACAAAATTTTTTTATTTTTAGCTACTTCGTATTTTGCGGTTAATTTTTGTTTTAGCTTATTTTTTCAAATTAAATTCTATTTCCCATGGCGTTGAGGAATATGTTTGCTTTTGCTTTACTTTTTTCTCATTTTCGTTAGAAGTGTGCCAAAACGTTGTTTGCGTAAATATCGAAGTGCGAATTTTCATTCATTCGGCTAAGTGTCGAAATAGGTTAGTTTTGCACTATGTTCTCTGTTGAATTTTAAAAATCCACGACTATTGTAAGTCGATGAAAAATGAATTTTAAAAATCCACGACTATTGTAAGTCCATGAAAAATGAATTTTAAAAATCCACGCCTATTGTAAGTCCATGAAAAATGAATTTTAAAAATCCACGCCTATTGTAAGTCCATGAAAAATGAATTTTAAAAATCCACGCCTATTGTAAGTCCATGAAAAATGAATTTTAAAAATCCACGCCTATTGTAAGTCCATGAAAAATGAATTTTAAAAATCCACGCCTATTGTAAGTCCATGAAAAATGAATTTTAAAAATCCACGCCTATTGTAAGTCCATGAAAAATGAATTTTAAAAATCCACGCCTATTGTAAGTCCATGAAAAATGAATTTTAAAAATCCACGCCTATTGTAAGTCCATGAAAAATGAATTTTAAAAATCCACGCCTATTGTAAGTCCATGAAAAATGAATTTTAAAAATCCACGCCTATTGTAAGTCCATGAAAAATGAATTTTAAAAATCCACGCCTATTGTAAGTCCATGAAAAATGAATTTTAAAAATCCACGCCTATTGTAAGTCCATGAAAAATGAATTTTAAAAATCCACGCCTATTGTAAGTCCATGAAAAATGAATTTTAAAAATCCACGCCTATTGTAAGTCCATGAAAAATGAATTTTAAAAATCCACGCCTATTGTAAGTCCATGAAAAATGAATTTTAAAAATCCACGCCTATTGTAAGTCGATGAAAAATGAATTTTAAAAATCCACGCCTATTGTAAGTCCATGAAAAATGAATTTTAAAAATCCACGCCTATTGTAAGTCGATGAAAAATGAATTTTAAAAATCCACGCCTATTGTAAGTCGATGAAAAATGAATTTTAAAAATCCACGCCTATTGTAAGTCGATGAAAAATGAATTTTAAAAATCCACGCCTATTGTAAGTCGATGAAAAATGAATTTTAAAAATCCACGCCTATTGTAAGTCGATGAAAAATGAATTTTAAAAATCCACGCCTATTGTAAGTCGATGAAAAATGAATTTTAAAAATCCACGCCTATTGTAAGTCGATGAAAAATGAATTTTAAAAATCCACGCCTATTGTAAGTCGATGAAAAATGAATTTTAAAAATCCACGCCTATTGTAAGTCGATGAAAAATGAATTTTAAAAATCCACGCCTATTGTAAGTCCATGAAAAATGAATTTTAAAAATCCACGCCTATTGTAAGTCCATGAAAAATGAATTTTAAAAATCCACGCCTATTGTAAGTCCATGAAAAATGAATTTTAAAAATCCACGCCTATTGTAAGTCCATGAAAAATGAAATTTAAAAATCCACGCCTATTGTAAGTCCATGAAAAATGAATTTTAAAAATCCACGCCTATTGTAAGTCCATGAAAAATGAATTTTAAAAATCCACGCCTATTGTAAGTCCATGAAAAATGAATTTTAAAAATCCACGCCTATTGTAAGTCCATGAAAAATGAATTTTAAAAATCCACGCCTATTGTAAGTCCATGAAAAATGAATTTTAAAAATCCACGCCAATATTTCTTGTAAGTCCTTCAAAAAATATTTTTAAAAAATATACCTTTTATTCTTTTTTATTTTTTTAAACTTAATATAGCAAATATTCCTAATGCAATGAAAAATTTACAACAATTTTCACTTAAATGCTACATTGTTAACATAATATTTTGTTTTTATAATAATTAATTAATTAGCATTATTCAGTTCTTTTTAAATTCTATTTACAAAAATCAACGAGAGCGAGAGAGGATGTATTCGAAAGAGAGCGTGAGATCACTTTTCATTTTTACTCATTGAGCAGACAGGTTCTAATGAGAGCATCACACACAGCATAGGGATCACAATTTGAACTTGGACGACGATCTTCGAAATAACCCTTTCCAGCAGTGGCAACACCCTGGGGCACCCTCACACTGACACTGCGATTGGCAACACCCCAAGAGAATTTATCAATGCTGGAGGTTTCCAATCGTCCCACCAAACGTCTCTCATTATCCTTACCCTCTTTGGGATCATAGGCCTTGATGTGACGTTCATGATGATGGCTGAGCTTTTCAATTGCCTCTTCAATGGCTTTCATGCCACCATCAGCCCGCATCGCCTTGGTGGAGAAATTGGTATGGGCGCCAGCGCCATTCCATGGTCCCTCAACGGGTTTGGGATCAAATGTCACCACAATGCCAAACTCCTCAGCAATACGTTGTAGAATGTAACGCGAGACCCATAGATCATCACTGGCCTTAATGCCCAAACTGGGACCGACTTGATATTCCCATTGGGCGGGCATTACTTCGGCATTGGTGCCGCTAAAATCAATACCGGCATAGAGACATGCCAATGTGTGGGCCTCAACCAAATCCCGGGCGTAGACACGATCAGCTCCCACACCACAATAGTAAGGCCCCTGGGCAGCAGGATAGCCGTTGGCAGGCCAGCCGAAGGGACGTCCATCTACATCGAGCAACGTGTATTCCTGTTCAATGCCAAACCAAGGCTCCTCATGGCCCACCTTATCAATTGCATTCTGCAGGGCAAAACGTTTGTTCGAAGGTGTTGGCTCACCATTGGGCAAATAGGTATCGCACATGACAATGATGTCGTTCTTACCCGGCTTGAAGGGATCACGATAAATGACCCGGGGCACTAGCGTAGTATCGGAATTTTCACCCTGACTTTGATATGTGGAACTGCCATCGTATTGCCATTTTGGTAAATCCGAAACATCTTTGGGGATTTTATTAAGAACACGATCCTTGACGCGGATATTTTCTCCGGTGCCATCGATCCACAGATAGGTGGCTTGCAGACGATCACTGGGGGTTTCCAAGAATTTATAGCGGCTCAGTATGGATTTATCCAAGGCATTGTTGGGCGAATTTTTCAAAAAATCACTGGACGAAAGGCGCGAAGTGGTGCTCAAGGCGCGAGTTTGACGCAAGGAGGCAGATAGTTCTTTGCTAAGCAGTAGACCAAGGCAACGTAGAGCCATTTTGTTACTTTAGAAAAATATGATTTTTTATTTCTATTTTTAAAATAATTATTTTTATTTTTAATTAAATATTTTTCCGATTTCCTTGTTGATCTTGTTCTTTTTTTCCTCTGTGCGCTGTTCTATGCTTCTTTTTTACTTTCAAAAAATTCTATGTTTTTTCTATTCTTCTTTTGTGTGTTTTTTATTTTTTTCTGGTTCTAACAAAATAGATGCGCGACGTTAACACGCTGACGTTAGGATGACTTGTGAGCGCCTGGGCACTGCTTAGATCTCCTTTATTTGAAAATCAAAGAAGTGTGGTTGCCGGCCAGCCAGAACACCAAACACCATTTGCCGGCTCACTTGTCCATGCACGCACTTATTTTGAGATTTTTTCGTTGCAGTTCTCAGTGCTTCTCTTTCTTAGATAGGTACCTGGGATGTTTAGACATACAGTAGCCATGTTTTGTTGTTGGTAAACAAAAAAAAAATATTTCTAAAGTCAATATTTTTGTTTACCAAAAAAATATTCAAAAATAAACAACATATTGACACAAGGGAATTATCGAAGCTTTTGATTATCGGACCTCATTGATAAATTACCACTTTGTGGTGCATTACCCGGATATTTCAGTGACCATTACTGGGAATTTTAATTTTTATAAAAAAATGAAATTATTTTTTTTTACAAAAAAAAAAAAAAACATGACTATTATATCGCCTTCCGCATCATTTCTAATGTGAAATGCAAATTTTGTTTTTCTGCTTTTTTTGATTATCAAAAATTCATTGGGATATTATTTATTTTGTTACTCTCTCTCTCTCTATTTCGTTCTCTTTGAATGTTTCATTAGCAAGACACCATTCAATAGAATAGAAAAACAAACAATCTCAAAATACAAACATGGGTTTTTTCCTAAAAAAAAATAATAATAAAAAATTAAAAACAAAACAATGTTTTTAATTTAATATATATTTTTTATTATTAATGACTTATTACATTGTTAAGATAAGGGTTGGTTTACCATGTTTGTATAGGTTTACCAAAATCTTTGTATAGAAGAACTGGTGCAGCTCTAAGCGGGAATATTTCCAGAAGAGACAAAAATTAAGAAAAAAAAATATTTTTGAAGCCGATGGAGCGGATTTTTTAATAAGCTTTCACAGCCACCCAAGTCCATGTTTTTTTTTAATTGTTACTACTAAGCGAGGCGAGGATTAAAAAAATTATTCTTTTAAGTCCACGAAGGCATGAATTTAAAAAATATATATTTTGCCAAACCGATTTTTTTTCCAAAGGTGTGAATTTACATAGTCCACTAAAGCATGGTTTGCAAACATAAAACCAGTTTCAAGCTCCGCTAACGCCGGGATTAAACAAATATTTTTAAACAAATATTTTTATCCTCGCCACTAAGGCGAGGATAAAAAAATATTTTTGAAGGCCCATATTAGTGTGGATTTTTGAAAAACTCTCTAAGGCGAGATTTTTTAAAATTGTTTTAAGAGATTTTTTAAAAGTTTTGCAATAGGCGTGGCACAAAAAAAAAGACGTAGATTAAAAAATATTGTTTAAGGCCTGCTATGGCCCACAAAACGTGGTTTCTAATAATTTTTATACCCTACACAACTATGTTGTCAGGGTATTATAGCTTTGTGCAGACCCAAGAGTTTGTAACGCCGCGAAATATTGGTCCTACACCCACCTTTAAGTATACCGATAGTCATATCTCGACCAGCTGAATCGATCTAGACATGTGTGTCCGTCCGTCTGTCCATTATAATTTTTAAACACGATACAGGCCACAGTTATGGATCAATCTTCACGAAATTTTGCATGTAGGATGGGTTCTGGCCATTACCACACTAGTGGGGGGAAATATAGGGCTGATCGCTTTGAAATTTTCCTTGAGGATCCAGGTATGGTCAAGGACAACGCCTATAATTTTCGGTGATGATCAGATTAAAATTTTGGGATGAAGTGGACCGAAAACTAAATTTTTTGTGTTTTTTTTTTTTTTGAGTCAATATATATATATATATACAAGCCAAAATTAAAACACAACCCACGGTGAAGGGAATCTGGACAAGTAATTAGAAGGGATGTACTGAATATTGGGATATTCGGAAAATATGTCAGTGTAAGGAAGATGTGCCTTTGATCTCTAATCGATCAAGAGGGTGCAAATATCACGAAATATTGACCAGGCTCGAAATAAAAATACGCAAAAGTTTGACTTCCGTGGTAGTTGTGTAGGGTATCATATGGTCGGCCCCGTCCGACTATACTGCTCCGCTCACAGGTTTTTAAATATTTTTGTATATTGTTCTGGTCTCCCATCTCAAAAATTGTATTTCTTATTCATATTTTGTAGGATCTTTTAAAGGTGTTTTGCCTTTTAATGATTTTTCTTTTTCATAAATTGTGAATAGCTTTCCTTTTATGCCTGTAAATTCATTATCGATTGACTTAAGCAAGACCTTGACCTACATTGACCTCTAACACATGTATCCTTACAAGGAATAGAAAAAATAAACGTCAACTAAGGTATTATGTATTCATACCATACGGGCTCATAAGCACTTGTGGGCGGACTTTGATGAACTAGAGTGTCCTTGATGGCTATTGTCAATCGACTGCATATGCCTATGGATAAATCTAACGAGGGTAGGGGTGAAAATTGGAAATCTATACAAATAAAATAGTAAAATGACGGACTGACTTATAGATTCATCAACGTCCAGACAAAACGGCTGAAGCTAGAAACTTAAAATTTGTGGTGAGTGTTACTCTTGGTCTACAGGTGGCACCACTTTTAATACTAAATGGGGTAAAATTTGTATTTGACGAACCGTTAGAGCTAGAACTCTTAAATTTGAAAAGAGGGTTACTGATGGAGTGTAAAAGAGATGTAGTAGAGCGTTTTTTGGACATTAGAACTATAAGTATCCGAAAAGTACTATATTTGGTACAATTTCGTAACATGCGAATGGATAGAGGGAACTTGAAATTTGGAATATGAATTATGGTTGAGAAGTAGGACCGATATAAGGAGGTGGTTGTGAACGCGAGTACTCATGTAGACGAAAAGTACTAAACTGTACTAAATTTGGTACTATTTAAATATGGGGAAACGGATGAAGCTGGAATCCTGAAATGTGAAAAAGGTTACTGGTGGAGTGTAGAATTAAGGTATGTAGGTAGTATTGGAAATTCATACTTATGGGTACTAAATTTGGTACAATTTAAATTTTGGTTGAACCAATAAAACTAGGATTCTGAAATTTGGAGATAGAGTCAGTGTAGAGCTGTAGGATTGGGATATGTAGGAAGGTTTGAAAATGAATACTAAATGTGGATTTTGTTGAACCGATAGAGCTGGAATCTTGAAATTTAAAGATAGGATCACCGTTGGGGGTAGGTTTGGGCTATGTAGGAAGTTTTGGAAATTCATACTAATATGTTCTAAATGATACCAAATATTTGAGCGCAGCGATCGGGCTGCAATCCTGAAATTGGAAAATATGATTTCTATTGGATATATTTTTCAGGGTCTCAACAAGGCTGGGATTTTTTAAAGAATATTTTTGGGGGGTCTATACAAGGCGTGGATTGTCACTTATCCGTAGAATGGTAAGTGACTTTAAATAGACTTTTTTGCATTATAGAAATTTCAAGCAATCCTTCCTTGCATCACTTGCCAAAAAAAATACTTCTTCTTCTTCTAAGGCAATTGACAACAATAACATGTACAGGTAATTTCATTCTCTATCCGAAATCTTAAATAGTATATCCTTCCATATTACCGTAACCTGTCAATTAATTTCTAGCATGCCTTTTTCCCTACAAAAAAAAACGCAATTAGCAAAAGTTAATCCTTCAGAATAATTAGCAACCAAAATTTTCAAATGTTTTTTTCATCCTCTACCTGCTAACTCGTTGTGCCTATCCTAACAAAATCTTACGAAGACGCGCACAGCTGGTGGTATCACGCCGACCAATGAACCGCTAATGAGTAGTGGCCCCTTTCGCCTGTGATTTGTCTTTTGTTGGCGTGGAAAATTTTCCGTCTTAGTTTTATCGTTGTTGTTGCTGCTGTTACTGTTGTCAGTTGTCGTTGACAAAAAATTCGTTTTCCATTTAGGCATTTTCTGTAGTTTTTATCTGATGAGCGGAAAATTTCCACTGCATGTCAAATCAAAGAAAAAAGATTTAACAAAAAAAAAAATAATAAGGAAAATATGTATAAAACAAAACAAATGTATAACAACAAAAACAACTTGCCAAAAAAATGTTTTGTTGTTGTTATTGATAATATCCGTTGGTATAGATTTTTTTGGATGTGCATAGTTGCTAGAAAATAGTTGCTAGAAAATTGTACTTATCGTATCATATAGAAAAACCATTCAGCGGATTATTATATTTATATGTGTATGTCGGTATGTATATAATGTATGTGTATTTTTTGGGTATCAACTAATGCACGGTAATTTAGTGTTTGGTATATGCAAATCGGGAAAAATAAAATGTAAATGTACGCCAAGGTCGAACACTGCGGACACTCTACTATATGGTGCTAAGTACTAGGATGGGGTAAAGGACTAGGGGAAAGTAAAAACAAGTTGTTGTTCGTTCACGTACTAGCGATATATATATATATATATATAATAAAAATCAAGACTCACTAAGACGGGGTCTTTTTAAAAATATCGTGAAATTTTAAATTCAAATATTTGTAAAGGCCTTCTAAGGCGTGGATTTTTCTACATATTTGTAAAAGGCACACATAGACGCAGATTTCATAATGAAAAATAATTTTTGGGCTTACTATGGAGTGAATTAAAAAAAAAAAAACAATTATATTTGTTCGGGTTCACTAAACATGAATTTTTTAAGACCTTCTTAGGAAATATCTAAAAAAATGTCAATTTTGATTTTTTAAAAATATTTCTTCAAATTCCAAAAAGATATCGATTATTTTGAAAACATTTTTTAGGCTTACTAAAGCGTGAATTAT